GCTGCTCCCGGCACATGACCGGAGATATATCCTAATTGCATGACATTCAGACATTTAATGGGGGATATGTCTCTTTTGCAGGAGGCGAAGGAGGAAAGATAACTCAAAAGGGAACAGTTTCAAATGGAGTGTTGAATTTTGAGAATGTTAACTATGCACCTGAATTTGAAAAATGGGTTTCTTGCGCTCAAGGAAAACATATTCAGAAACCACACTTTCCAAAGCAGATTAACTCCATTAGTCAAGTGTACGAGTTGTTATATATGGATTTATTTGGTCAGGTTAACGTTCTCAGCATCAATCGCAACTCATACTACCTCGTTGTGATAGACGATTACTCTCGATTCACTTGTGTTTTCTTTCTGTCCAACAAAGCTGGGATCGCTGACCTCATGAAAAGGTTCATTGTGATGATCGAAAATCAGACCAACAACCTAGTGATAGCGTTGCGTACTAATAACAGAACAGAGTTCAAGAATGCTATTCTTGACCATTTTTGCGCTAAGAAAGGGATTATGTGTCAGTTCACTTCTGCTCTAACACCTCAACAAAACGGTGTTGCAGAACGTAGGAATCGAACTCTTAAAGACGCCACAAGGACGATGCTCTGTGACTCCAAACTTCCTGTGTTCTTTTCGGCGGAGGCTATTAACACCGTTTGCTACGTTCAAAATCGTGTTTTAATCAACAAAGCACAGATGAAGACACCATACGAGATTCTATACTGACACAAGCCATCTGTCAGCCATTTCCGAGTGTTTGGCTACCCTTGCACCCTTCTCCACTTGGAATCCAACCCTAAATTCAATGCAAAAGCCGATGATTGTTATTTTGTTGGATATGCTGCTCGAATTGCGTATAGGGTTTATAATAGGAAGACAAAACAGATTGTGGAATCTTTTGACCTTCGTTGGCTTGAAGAAAATGAGATAGATGCTAGAGTGGGTCCAGACTGGCTATTTGATTACACATCTCTTTTCAAATCATTCAATGTGTCATCAGATAATCAAGCAGGATCTATGTCTAGTTCAAAGATCTCTATTGAAGATGAAGAGGATGAAGTTGTCTACCGACCAACACTGGTTTCTTCCGATCCTCCAATGGTGCCCTTTGTTCACACTGATTCTTCTGAGTCCTCTCCTCAACAACCTTCTCTTGATGCTACTGCTACTCCTCTAACTCCGGTGGAAATATAGTTCATGAAACAAGAGACTTTCGTTGTAACTTCAAATCTGATGGAACTTCTCTTTCCAGAAAGCATTTCTGAAGAGTTTGTAGCAGATCATATAGCAAATGATGGAGCACTTAACATCCAAAATCTTCTAGTCTCTATCAATGATATCATCTACGAGATCCCTACACGCATTCAGCGCGACCGTCTAATAGAGAACGTCATTGGCCAGCTGGGCGACAATGTTCAAATGCGAAGTCCGAGTGGAGATGTTAATACGTGTCTCTACTCTTGCTTCATTTCTCATATAGAGCCAAAAAGTATCGAAATGGCTCTGAATGAGCCAAACTAGGTTGACGCCATGCATGATGAACTAAATCAGTTCAAGAAGCTCAGGGTTTGGAAGTTGGTGGAGCTGCCAAAAGGAAAGAAATCTCTCGACAGCAGATGGGTCTTTCGGAACAAGCAAGATGACTCAGGTGTAATTGTGTGTAACAAGGCGAGATTAGTGGTTCGCGGGTTTCGTCAAGTTGAGGGTCTTGATTATACGGAGGTTTATGCTCCGGTAGTGCGCTTGGAAGCCATTCGTATCTTCCTTGCATATGCTTCCTATATGAACTTCACCGTATACCAAATGGACGTCAAGACGGCTTTCTTGTACGGCACGGTCAAGGAGGAGATTTATGTTTACCAACCACCCGGTTTCGTTAATTCAAAGCTTCCAAACCATGTCTACAAGCTAGATAAAGCTCTGTATGGGTTGCATCTAGCTCCTAGAGCTTGGTATGCTACCCTAACTCAGCATTTGCTCAACCACGGCTATTCCCAAGGCACCATTGATCAAACCTTATTCATCAAACATGTCAGTCCGGATCAAATTCTTATTCAAATCTATGTGGACGACATTATTTTCGGGTCGACAAGCCAACAGCTTTGCAAAGAGTTCGAAGTCGTGATGAAGAAGCGGTTCGAGATGAGTTCGCTTGGGGAAATGACCACGTTTTTGGCGCTTTAGGTCCAACAATCTTCAACCGGTATCCTTATTCACCAAGCAAAGTATTGGATGATGTGCTGGAGAAGTTCGGGTTTCGAGACACGAAACCTGCTCTTACACTCATGGCGGAGAGACCTCTACTGACCCCTGAGTGAATCCGTAGATCAGACGCATTATCGATCAATGATTGGATCACTCATGTATCTGACTGCTGGTCGCTCAGACGTAATGTTTGCGGTTTGTCAATCTGCTCGCTACCAGGCTATTCCTAAACTTTCTTATCTATTTGTTGTTAAACGGATTTTTCAATACCTCAAAGGTTGCCCAAAACTGGGTCTTTGGTAACCGAAAAATCCAGAATTTGACATTTATGCTTTTGCAAACAGCAACTATGGCGGGTGTGAGCTTGATTGAAAATCAACTTCAAGCGGATGCTAATTTCTAGGAGATAGATTGGTCTCATAGCAGTGCAAGAAGCAGCATATCGTTTCCACCTCAACAGCAGAAGCGGAGTATGTCGTTCCGTCTACATGTTGTTCTCAAGTCATATGGATCCAACATCAGCTGTTGGACTACGGTTTGAATTTCCAAGAAACCCCTATATTTTTTGATAATGAGGCTGCGATCCAAATTGCCAAAAACCCGGTGCAGCACTCAAAAACCAAGCACATCGACATCAAAATTCATTTCATACGAGAATGTTATGAGCGCTCGCTCATTCGGCTAGAATAGGTCCGCTCTGTAATAATGTAGCGGACTTGTTCACCAAGCCGTTTAACAAAGCTCGATTCGATGTGCTGGTTAATTTTCTGAAAATGATTCGCTTTGAGGATTAGATTTTTGTTTAGATTCATTTAAATTTGCGCAATTTTTTTTCTCTTCTATGCACAAATTTGGGGGGAGAAATAACCGAAAAATCCAAAAACAATAGAAAATCAGAAAAATCCAAAAACAATAGATTATAAGAAAAATCCAAAAAAAAAATAGAAAATCAGAAAACTTAAAAACAATATAAAATCAAAAAAAATCCATAAACATAAAAATAAAAAATTATATGTGATCAATGATATGTATTGGGAAGTGATATCAACAAGTGATAACAGGCAATCTGAATCTGTGTAAGGTACCAAAGCTGAATTGTCTAGGCTCTGTGTTCGATGCACTGGTAGGCACAAAGATTTTAATGGGCTTGACTAGGGAAGGATGAACTTAAGAAATCAAATGACTTGACAAATCTTGACCTAGATAGATCCGTTTAGCCTGACAATACGAACTCGGATAGGTTTAGCAGGAAGATATACATGAGAATCCACCAATCACATTAAAGGAACCTATATCTAGAAATGTGGTTTAACTTTTCCTTGATGTACGAATTCTATCCTTAATTCCGATATTGATAGAGCGATTGGGGAATTCCGATAAAGTAGGTCTATAGAAAATTATTTTCTTTCTTTCTTACTGTTAGTCATATGTTGCCTCCTTTACGTGATTGGAAGAGATCCGACCTAGATTGCAACATAAGCAAATCTATTTCTCTGCATGTTATATCTATGAAATTCTTCTTATCTGTTAGCCAATATGTTGTCTCCTTTGTGTGATTAACAATCCAACCTGGTACACAGCATATGCAACCTTCTACTTCTCAATCCCTCCAAAAACTATATTCAATAATAATCTGAATCTATCCTCTCTATGAATAATAGTTTGCTCACCTAAAGTAAGGAGTATCTCAGAAGTTCTTGATTATTGGGGTATATCAGGAAGCAGGAATTATGCTCTAGTACATCTAAAATTGAATAATTATAGATTGTTTGTAGATCTCGCTGCTCAAATTAGGTGGACAACAATATTCTTGGTCGTCGTTAGATGAATGGTCCTTAGGAAGTTTTATCTAGGAACATAGGATCAACTTGTCTTGTCACTTATGGCATGTCCAAAATTTGTCAAAAATTTTCGTGTTTAAGTGGACCACAATACCGGTGATGAACCAGATCAATTCATGAAGGGGAAGGTATTGACAAACGGATTAAGACTGTCTAACAACTTTGATCCCACATCACAAAAGGTTAAATAATTTAGAGGACTAAAATTAAATTAATTTTTTTGTTGTTGTTAGTATTTTCATTTTATTTTATTCTTTATTTTTAGTTTTAGTTTTATTTTGTTTTATGTTTAAAACTTTTAGGAATAATAAATTTTAAAATTTTTAATCCTCAAAATGGATTATTTTTGAAAAGTTTGAATTTGGGCTTAGTTTTTGATTATTAAAGAGTTGAGGGGGAGGAAATGCAAATTTTTTAGAGTATATATATACCGTGTGCGGTTTGTAGATCACCGCCATTGTTCTCATTTGAATCTGCCCCAACCGCACACGGCTTACACTCTCTCTCTCTCTCTCTCTCTCTCTCTCTCTCTCTCTCTCTCTCTCTCTCTCTTTCTCTCTAAAATCTTAAATTTCATCAATCTTCTTGGAATCAAAGCTCCATACCAGTAATTCTTGTAAAAGCGACTCCCATAACACATTTTTTATGCAAAATCAATCAATAGTTGGTGTTTAATCGAAGGATCATGTGTTTTGACTGTGAGTGCTACCGTACACGGCGAGTGCGGCTGCACACAGCTTGTGCGGCTGAACCGTGTGCGGCTACACATATATATGTATGGCTGGACCGAGTGCGGCTGCATATGTATATTTTGTGTGCAGCTGCGCACATCCACGTGTGCGGCTGTGTGCATTCTCATGTGCGGTTGCACACTTCTTCATGAACAGTTGAAGTACATATGGTTAAAATTATTTTTTCCCTAATGATTCCATGCATTTCTTTTCAGATTAAAATGGGAGATCTAGAATTTGCCAAAGTTCACAACTCAGCTGTTTTGCTTGAAGATCCTCCAGCAACTCACAATGATCTAAAGTTCATTGTTGATGGTCTGAAGAAATGTTGTTTGGTCCATGCCTTGACAACCAGCCCTGCAATTTATCAGAACCTGATCAAAGATTTTTGGAGAAGTGCAGTAGTGAAGAAGGATAACAAAGATGAAAAGTACATTGAAGCCACAATCCAAGGAAAGAAGGTTCAAGTTTCAGAGAGTATTATTCGGGAATCTCTCCAAATTGATGGCAGATCAGAATACTCTATGGAAATTAATGTGCATCAAACTCAGGATGTTCTAGACCATATGGGGTATGAGGGAACATCTCCTCCTACCATCAGAAATTGCTTCCTCCCTGCTGGAAATATCTAGCTCATGTGTATGTGAGTTGTATTTCTGGTAGGAGATCCGGTGCAAACGAAATCTCCTCGGCCAACACAGGAGGCATCACAACTTTGGCCTCGGGAATTGAGTTTAACTTTTCAAAGTTTATACTACACGAACTGGTTCTGAATCTTGAAGGGAACAAGAGAGATAAGTTTTTGATGTACCCAAGATTTCTTCAGATCATCTTCAACATCATGCATCCGGAGCCGCAGAGAAGGAACGTAACTTTGGATCTTAAACCAGTTGGTCCAAGTGCATTCGGGTTAATGAAGCAGAAAAGAGGAGGAAAATTCATTTTTTAAGGAAAATTCCCCTTAATCAAATTTGGAATTTTTGAAGAAAGTGATCAGTCAAAATCAGAAGATCAATCCATTCCTACAGAGACTGAAGACATTGTGTTTTCAACCTCTGAACCAGAAATTAAGGAGGTTCATGATTCCCGTACAGCCATAGTGGCTTAGGAACATGATCATCTATATCATAAGGAAGATGAAACATAATCTGTTTAAGAGGAACATGATGAAGATATCTATGGAGATATAGATTTTTTGAAAGACATAGAGTTCACAAGGTTCAGTGATGATATCCCTACAAATACTGAGCTTGATCTTGATGATGAAGAATTTGGTCCTCTTCCAGGATTTGCCAGTAGCTGTTTTAATAAAGTCAATGAAGTTGCTTCTTCGGCAACCAAGACTGGGGAAGTAGGTAATGTTCTCAAAATTTTGCTCTCCACATCCAAGCCGATGGAGGTTCCTTCAAGGCAAGGAGATGTGAACTCAGAGATTCCTCCCTCTGTTTCAACTATCTCAACTTCTGCTCCGCTTGTTTCTGAATCATCTCAGCCCCAAACCTCCCAGTCCTACTTGGAAAGAATTCAATCAAATACAAGTCTAGAGCTACCCATTGTTGCACCTCAAGTCTTCTCCATTGTCACCACTACTACTATTTTCAGTCCACCAATACAAACCGATGAAGGACCTACCACAATGTTTGAGACAAGCGGCTCATCCTCTATCCTAGAATATTCTCCTACCAGACCTTCAATGGATGAAGCTTCAATCAGACTGGCAAAGAACCTGGCCCAACACAGTCCAAACTCTTCTTCTCGTGACAAAGGAATATCTTTCAGAGAAGAGCACTCAAGTGATGACAAATCTTCTATGTCAGAACTTCGAGAAGAGATTGGTGTTCTTTGACCGAAACTTATTAAGAAGACCATTCAGATGGATCAAATCACTTCTCACATTCAAGTGCTTAAAGCAAAAGATGAAGAAAAGTCAAAGCAGATTAAGGATCTACAGATGAATCTCGGTTCTGTGACAGTTATCTACTTTGATTTAAATAACGTTCTGTATGATGCATTTGGAGATAAAGTCAAAGCCCTATTTCAGCAACCACATGGAATTGAGGATCCTCCCATGGCCCCCATACAGTCTGCCTTTGACGACCTTCCAGTTGATCCACCTGCTCCTAGAACAACTACAGTTGTCAACAGATTTGAAAAGGAACCAGAAGGCAGCAGAGCCCGAATCACAATCAAATAGGGAAAGAGGAATGTAACAGATAACAAAAGTGAAGGGTTACTCTTCATGAAATATTCAAACGAGCCAAAGACCCTGTGCTAACAGTGATTGATCTCAAGAAAAGAAAATTTGGTGATGAGTTCGGAGATAGATTGGGAATTCGAATGTGGGCCTTTGATCCCGAGACAAATATGTGGGTTGTGAAAAGGAACTAAGGAAATCATGAGTATTACAAGAGAACCCATGATTTTAACTCATGGACCAAAGTGGATCTTGCTGAACTATCAAGATCCCCATTCCATAATCCCTCTGAAGATCCCAGTGCAACAAACATCAAAAGATTTCTTGACAGACAGGTCAACAAAAACTTTCCAAAAATGAAGACTGCAAGAGCTTTGTACCAAAACACCAAGAAATTCTAGATATTGAATCAGGCGAGCCTATGTAGATTATCCTTTGGCATGCGACTAAACAGCAGAAGGAAATTCCTATCCCTCAACACTTCTGTGAGGGATATCTTGATAATATGGAATTTTGGGCTTTTGATGCTGAAACTGCCACTACTACAATACAATTCAAGGATAGAGAACATGTCTTGAGGCTGATCAATTCTAAAGATCTTCTTAGGTTCAGGGAAAGGGATATCCACACTCTGTCTCGTCACCAGATTATATGCAGAAAAGATGTTATGGAGGCGGCTGCTAAAGCGTTCACTGGAATGGTTGCCACCATCATAAATGGAAGATTGTGGATGGGTTCTATGGGAAGGTCCGATTTAAAGCTGTATGAGAAGCCAACAGAGTGAAGATTAAAACTGTACTAGCCTCAAACCAGGGGGAGATTGAAATACTATAATATTGTGGTTTGAGTTAGGCATTATTCCTGTACATATCTTGTTAGGGTGGTAGTGTAGTGGTGACATAGTTTAGATTTGGTGTGTGTGCAGCCTCACTCGTGTGTGCAGCTAAACACATATGTGTGTGGCCACATACGCTGTGTGCAGCCGCACATGTGTGTACGGATGCACAGTTGTGTGCTGGTAAGGGTAGTATTTAAAGGGGGTTGTCATGTGTCATATGTACCTTTTGATGAACAGTGACGTGTATGTACTTTCAAGGTGTACCTGACATTTATGAGCAATAAATGTGTGCATGCTTGATTTTATTTCTCTTCTACTCCTTCTACACTCTATTTTGATTGCCATTTGCTTCATTTATTACTAATTTGGATCTATATTTGGGGACTAACAAATACGATTTCTAGTGATAATTAATTCATCCACATAAATTCCAATTATAAGTATATTTCCATTTTTCTTTCTTGTGTATGTGGCATACTCTTGTGGACATCTTATAAAACCCAAGTCTTGAGACATTTGTCTAGTTGTGAGTTCCAAGCTCTAGGAGTGTGTCGCAGTCCATACAACACCTTTTATAATTTGTACACTAATTTTGGGTTGTCTTTATTTATAAAACCCTCTGGCTGAGATACATACACCTCTTCTTTTAATTCTCCATTAAGAAAGACTGATTACAATCCAACCATTCTTGGCTGCCAAAGGAACTAAAATACGTACTATTTCCATTCTAGCCAGTGGTGTGAAAACTTCATCGAAATCAACCCCATGTTTTTGTATATATCCTTTTGTGACTAACCTCACCTTGTGCTTCAAGATATTTCCATTTGTATCCCTTTTTATCTTGAAGACCCACTTGAGACCGATGGGTTTTCTTCCTTTTGGCAACTCTACTAGCTTCTAGGTTTTATTTTTCTCGATTGCACTTAGCTCACTCTTCATTGCATCTTCCCATTCATCAATTCCTTTTGCCATAGAGTAAGACAAGGGTTCCTTTTCATCATGTAAGAACTAAAGTTCACTATAATCTTCATATATTTCAGCCAAGGTACAAAACTTGGTTGGAGCATTGCTTGTAGACGAGGTCGAGCTAGGTGCACTTTCATGGGAAGATTCAGGACTTGATGTAATATTATGAGGACTTTATGGAATATTGTGAGGACTTTCAGGTACATTATTATCCGGAATAGTATTGTCTTAATTTGAGTTATCACCATATTGCTCTCTATCTCCATAGGTATTTTCATCAAGATATAATATATCAAAGGTGAAGATTTCATTTGATGTTTGTTTGAATTTTATTTCTTTCCCCCATTCCCATGTTTTATTTTCTTCAAGAATCACATCTCTACTTACTCGAATGGATCCTATATCAAGACCAAGCAATCTATAACCTTTCGTGCCTTTTTCTACCCCTAAGTGTACTAGCTTTTTGCCACGTGCTTCTAATTTACTCAAATGCCTTCCGGTTACCCGCATGTGTGCAATACAGCCAAAAACTCTTATATGATCGATCTGTGGTTTTCTTCGTGTCCATGATTCATATAGTGTACCATCTTTGAGAGATTTAGTTTTTACTTGATTAAGAATGTAAATTGCATGAGTTACTGCCTCACCCCATAACACATCAGGTACTTTCATGCTCTTTAAACAACTTTTTGCTATCTCTACAATGGTGCGATTCCGTCATTCCACAACTCCATTTTGTTGTCGGGAGTATGGTGTTTTATAGTGCATGTTTATGCCATTTCTTTGCAAAAAGAGTTTAATTGATTTGAAAGAAACTCACCCCCTAGATCCGTACGAAGTGTCAAAAACTTCTCACCGGTTTCCACTTCGACTTTCACTTTGAAATTTTTAAAAACTTGCAAGGCTTCATCTTTAGTTTTCATCAAATATGCCCACATAACTCTTGTATAGTCATCAACTAGCAACATAAAGTACCTATTCCCTGTTGGTGTTGGTCGAGAGATGGGACCACAAAGATCCACATGCACAAGTTTGAGTCTTCTTTTAGCTCTAAAGGTTTTTTGTGTGGGGTATGGTTTTCATGTTTGTTTTTTGGCCAAGCATCCTTCACACAGGCTATTGGGGTTATCTGTCTGGCATAATCCTTCCATAATATTTGCATCACACATATGTTTAAGGGATGTAAAACTTACATGGCCTAAGAGATTATGCCATAACCATGTTGGTTCTATCGTTTTGCTAAGTAGGCACATGGTTTCTTCTTCTTCAAGCGTGATTTTATAGAGGCAATTTTTATATTGCATGACTTTCATCAATAATCTACCCTTTGCATTGTGAACCCACAGGTAAGTACCATGCATAACAATTATGTCCCCATTTTGATCCAATTGCCCCAAACTAATAATATTGTTGCAAAGTCTTGGTATAAAATATACTTCCATGAGTTCTTGATGTTCTCCATTCTTGCATTTAAAAACAATGGAACCCCTTCCTTCTATTTGAACTCTAGACCCATCACCAAATTTGACAAATCCTTTAATTGAGGTATCAAGTTTTCAAATTTTACCTCTTTCACCCGTCATGTGGTTGCTGGCTCCATTGTCAAGGCACCATAATTTTGATTGGCTTGATACTTCTTCCTTTTTCTTAGGGTTGGGTTAACTTTTTCTTCATTTAGCATGACTTCATCTTTAACATATTAATTGTTCACAGCTGCAAGTAATAGGGCTGGTTCGACATCATTGAAATCTTGGGTAAGATTAGCTTCCTAAATCCTTTCTCTTCGTGGGTTTTTGCATTCGGAAGCATAATGCCTGTGTTCTTGGTTTTGCCCATGACTGCCTCTATTATGGTGATTACCACCTCTTCCACAACATGAGTTGTTCCAATTACCTCTTCCATGACCAGAATTGCTCCAATTACCTTTTCCATGATCTAAATTGTTCCAATTGCCTTTTCCATGACCTCTTCCTCGTCCCTCACAGTTGCTCGAATTACCATGTTGCTTGTTCTCTGATTCGTGCTCGTTTAATTGCTTCTAGTTTCTTTCTGACCATTCTTCATGGGTTAAGAGCAGTTTCTTCTCGTATACTTCTTGATGTACTTAAATATGCACTTTGTGTGCTTTGAGTCTTCTAATGACTTCTTCAACTGTCATCGTATCAAGATCGACAAACTGTTCAACTTTTGATGCAATTTCAACAAATTTGGAGGGTACGACTCTTAGAATCTTCTTGACCACGTACACTTCGTCCATGGTATCACCTATCACCTAACGCCTAGATGTTGCTCACGATGTTGCTGATTTTTGCTGAAAAATCATCAACCATTTCAGATTCATTCATAATAAGAATCTCATATTAGGCCTTTAGTGACTGAATTTTTGTTGTTCGAACTCGATCTGCACCCATACACATAGTCTTGATTGTTTCCCCCACCTCTGTTGTTGTTTGCTTCTCCGCTATAGACAAAATGTTTTCTTCCAAGATGGCTTGGTAAATCGCTGCCATAGCTGTCTTATTCTTCTGGAAACCAACTGCATTCTCGGGTTTCTTCGGTTCAGTCACATCCCAAACCTCCATTTCTTGGATGAACACCTTCATCTTATTTTCCCATGCAACATATTTGGTTCAGGTCAAGATCGGATATTGCATCTTCGGTCTTCATATGGTGGGTTTGTGAAATATCGGTTAGTTGGATCTCTTATGTGTTCTTCTGAGCTCTGATACCAAATGTAAGGTATCTACCTGATACCTTGCTGTAACCTTGTTTCCTAAGAACAGAAAACAAAATAGAATAGGGAGGAAAGAAGGAAAAAAACTGCACAACAAGGAATAGTAGCGATAAC